GTCATGCGGCAGAAAGAAAGGAGCCTTACAGGTATGTCAGAAGACGTAGTGAGCCAATCTCTGCAGGGATTGAACCCGTGAGCTGGTTAATCCTAAAGGACCTGTCATCGTGCCCAGATGCAACAAGAAAGAAACAGAAAACGGTAAGCTTTGCCCGCAATATGAGCCTGCAGTTGTTGGAGGAGGCAAGAGCTCGCTCTGGTGTTTATCATGGTGTATTTTGTTATTTCGCCATGTTAAGAGCGAGTTACACTTTAAGGTTCAGATCGGACATGAGCGGGTGAACACCAAACGTGTTTGTCCGAACGTCCCCGAACAGTATAATTGGGCGATTTGAACATGTTCGGTTCGCCCAAACATTAATTTCACATTTTGCATGTTCGGTGTTTGGTTAGTGTGGGCGAACATGTTTAATGTTTGCCGAACCTCTACGTGTTCGGCCAATTCCGAACATGTTTGGAGTTCGAAAATAAGGACTTAGCAGATTCTCTGAGTAAACAGATTTCACCACTGCTCATCTCTAAGTGAAAGCTATGGTCGAAATGAACCAGAACCGGTATAACGGCCAACCAGCATGCACACACACTGGCTCGTCCCAAACCGGTTCGGTTTGGTTCTGTGACCAACCCCACCTGAAATTCAATATCCTTCATTCGCAACACAATGTCACTAAAACAACTCCGATTCACTGGGAAATGTATGCGATTCGTAGAATCAACGTTTGCAGCCCTTTTCCCCAACCCTTTTACCCAAACCAACCATTCCACAACTTCTACCTATCCGGTCTCAACTTGTCCACTCCAGGAACTCTACTTAGGGCGTATCCCTAGCTGGTGGCAGGGCCACTGTAGCTGGCAAGGTTGGTGGCAACTTTCCCAAAAACGCAGGGGCCCGGAAAATGCGCATGCCACCAACAGTGCCAGCTACAGTTGCCCTGCCACCACCCAGGGATACGCCCTTACATGATGGAACTCGGGTTTCCTGCCCACGTAGTCTGCCGTAACTCTACCAGCAAGGCCAGTATCGCAATTTCCGTTTTCTCCCTATTGCAATTACCTGACCTTACAAAGCCGCGGGCCGCAGCACTACTCCGGCCCGGGGGCGAGTGTATTCTAGCGTCTGCCCAATCTCTCTGCAGACGTAAAGTGTCTGCATGCTAGCGCATACGCACAAGTGTAGAATACAGTGGCCGCAAAGAATGCATGAGATTTCAACTTAGCCTGGGATTCACAGACCAGCACTCCCTCCCATCAGGGGTTGTTGGAAGGGTTGGGAGCCAAGGACGACAAAAGATAAGGGGAGAGAGCATCGAAGAGGGCAGCCAAGGATAGCAGAGTAGAATAGAGGGCAGTGCAAGAGACAACCAACAAGCACGGGCGGAGGGCGTAAGAGCATTGGAAAAGTGGCAATTGATGCAGTCAAGAGCAGCAGAAGAAGCAAGAAGCCTCACAGGGAGAGCAGACTGGTCAGTGAGCCAACACCAGCTGGGATAGAGCCAGTGAGAGTGTTGTTGAAAATCCACCTGCATGGATAGAGCGAGGAATAGTGTGTGTGAGAGAGAAATAGTGAGAGGAAGATAGGAGAGTGAGAGAGAGAGAGACCTGAGACGCTTGGCATGTGAGACCTGCTCTACACCCTAGAGGTCCTGGCAGCGGTAACCTAGAATTAGAGACCGTGCCTAGAGATCTCGTATAGTGCTGAAAACCTGCCTGTTTTCTCAATGAAGGACCACTTGAGAGAAATCGGGAGAGGGAGAGAGAAATATAAGTTCTGACTAGTTGATGGTGCTTGTCTAGGGAATTATATGTTCTGACCTGCATGTCTGTAATATTCTAAACTGTCAATAAAACGATCATTTGAGAGAGAAGGTCTAGCCTACGCCTTCTTTTCCCCCAGCCTTGCCCCCCAGCCCCGGCCTTTTCCTACTGACTTTATCGCAGCCCTTCTCATCTCAATCTTCAGTTTTTGTGTTCATTTTTTTTGTGGCTCGCGTTCGTCAAGCTTCTTACTCGTTGCAAGAACAGGATCGGAGCCGATCTGTGCAGAGCGCTGGCAGAAGCGGGTCTTTTTTGTACCCGACCCCGGGCGGGTCAGGCTTGACCTGGTCCTTCAAGGCCAGGTCGGACCATGATTTTGGAAACCTTGGCCCGGTAAGACCCGACCCGGTGCCCACCTGCCTGGCCCGCCCAAAGCGAGTCGGGTCGGGACGGGCTGGTCCTCATTGACACAGCAGTGGAGGCCGTGCCGGCATTTGTGGCCAGCGTGACCCAGGATCTCTCCTAGCTGCTGCGGACGCCTACAGCTGCCCTCCTCCCATCACCTCTCCTAACTAAGGCCTGTGCTCAAAGGGCCTATGCGGGAATGTGAGGCACTGCTTCTAGCAGACACCAGGGCCCTGCAAGGCTGTGAAACGGAGTGAAAAGAACACACATAGACAAGGCTGCAGCACGGACTTTCCACTTACCTCACGACCGGACAGCCACCTTGACCCGCAACTCTCGCCTAGGCATGAGCAAATGCCAAAACGAGTATTACTCAACTCGTTTTCAGCCGACTCGTTTTGGAAACGAGTTGAGTCGAGTATTACTCGTACGATTAATTTGAACCCTAGTCCCGGTTTGTTACTCGTGATTATGTGCGCATATTGGCGCTCGCTAGCCATGAGCGGTGAGTCTAGTTTTTATTCAATTTTAGGGTATGAGTCCAGACCGTTTACTAACAGCTCTTACTAGAGTATGAGGAAGGAGTAATCACCATCGAATTGTACTACTAGAACGATTAGGTGAGATCGGCTACGAATGATGGAAGTGCAGGACTTAATGGTGGTTGGGGAGAGGAGGGACGGAGATTGGTGTGGCGAGAGGGAGGACGCGTGCAGCAAGGTACACTGATTGCTTTGCGAAAAGGGTCAGCCGACAATTTCCAATTTCGCCGAACACAAATTATTTGCGAGCGTTGATTTTTTTGTGAGATTCAAAATTCGTGAAAACAAATTGGGGGACACAAAATGCCTCGCAACAGATCTGGGGATGTTTTCCTGTTACTGCATACTCGCGACATAGGGGAGCTATAGGCAGCGTGACAACTGCGATATGGTGGATGATCTTGCTCGCGGGCGCCTAGACTACCTTTGGGCTGAGTGAGGCTGTGGCTGAGAAAGACTTGGCATTCAACTGTCAGAATGTTATTCTTATGTTCTAGCCTGTAGTGGGGTGCTCTATAGCGAGTACAACCCTTCTAGGGTTTGCTATTTGTGTCCCCATTTCAGCTAGTTCAACCCTCTTTTTCTTCTTCTAACTTTTGACATGCTATCAGAGCAGGTCGATCCCTTTGGATCGATCCTGTGGGTGTGTCCCCACCTCGCTTCCGCTGCTACTTTTTTTTTCCTCCCGCCGTGCGCCCCGAGGCGCGCGGCGGTTTTCTGCCCGCCGTGCGCCCCGAGGCGCGCGGCGGTTCTTTGCCCGCTGTGCGCCCCGAGGCGCGCGGCGGGCTTCTGCCCTACGTCGCGGCCCCGCCCCGACCGTCGCGGCCCCGCCCTTCGACGCGGCCCCGCTCTACGTCGCGGCCCCGCCCCGGCCCGTCGCCGCCCGTGCGCCTGCCCGGCTCGGCCCCGCTCTACGTCGCGGCCCCGCCCCGGCCCGTCGCCGCCCGTGCGCCTGCCCGGCTCGGCCCCGCCCTACCTTTGCGGCCCCGCCCTATGTCGCGGCCCCGACCGTCGCGGCCCCGCCCCTCGTCGCGGCATCGGCCCCCCCCCCCCCCCCCCCCCCCCCCCCCCCCCCCTCCCCCCTTTTCTCCCCTCCCTGCCATTTCCCGTCGCCCGTCGCGGCTCCTTCGGGGGCCGCAAGCGGCCCCCTCAGGTCGCCACGACGGACGACGGGAGGGGCGAGCTGTTGGGTGGCGGGTATGGGGGTGCTCGGTGGGCCTTCCTCCCTTTGCTCCTCCTCCTCCTCCGTCTCCCACTGCTGCAGCTGTCGCTGAGGGGGGTGGTTGTGTGGGAGACTCGGGTTTAAGGTTTAAGGGGGGTGCGTGGGAGTGGAGCTAGGGGTGTATCAGCGGGTGTGTGTTGGGGGAGTTGGATAGTTAGGGAAGCTGCATGGAGGTTGCCGTCGTGTCGTCAGCAGCACCTGTATTCCGGGGGCTTCGCCCGGTAGCCCAGTCGTAGCCAGCTGTGCCAGCCGCCCGTGGGTCCGTTGCTCGTCTGCCGCTACTTTAGCCGCGGGGCCAGTTACTCCAGTAGTCCGGGGGCTTCGCCCGGTAGCCGCTGTGCCAGTGTGCCTCCTGTTGCCCGTGTGTCTGCAGCTTCAGCCGTCGCCTCCCAACTCCTCTCGCTCTCACTCCTCCTCCTCACTTGCCCGTTGTGACCACCACTAGCTTTGCTGATAATTGTGCACTTGAACTTGCTTCTTGAACTTGTGCTCAGAATGTGTGGTGACATTGTGATCCACCCTGAGCTTGTACTGCTTTGCTTGCTCTGCTGATTACACCCCACTTTGGCTATGGGGGTGTGTCAGAATGTTATTCTTATGTTCTAGCCTGTAGTGGGGTGCTCTATAGCGAGTACAACCCTTCTAGGGTTTGCTATTTGTGTCCCCATTTCAGCTAGTTCAACCCTCTTTTTCTTCTTCTAACTTTTGACATCAACGTCTCCAAGTCGAAGTCGCTACAGGCATTTGTGGACGCCGCCGTCATCTACGCCAAACCGTACACCCTCCCTACGCCCTACAAGGTTTTGGTCCCGCTGCTTGAGAAGCTCAAGGCGGATACCGAAGACCTTGTTCGGCCGATCAAGGACAGCTGGAGCACTAGCGGGTGCTCCCTCTTGGTGGACAGCTGGACATGCATCATGGTATGTATCATTGAACAGAACGACACCGCTCCTGTCATTGTTGATATCGTCGACTCAAATACGGCGAAGAAGACCTGAGAGTACCTGGCGGCTCTAATTCGCAAGGCGATCTGCACGGTGGGGGACAGGCTAGTCGTCCAGGTTGTGATGGACAATGCGTTCCAACAACAAACGGGCGGCCGACACGCTTCATGACGGGTATCCCCAGGTGTTCTTCACGATCTGCGCCGCGCACGTGCTGGGTCTCATGTTGCACGACATGGGAGAAATTCGGGTGTTGAACCGCGTCGTAAGTCAAGTACACAGGATGGTGATGATGGTAAAAGGCAGCGCCTCTGCCATCGTACTGTTCAAAGAGGTTTTTAGCAACTTGTCCTTGGTCCGCCCTGGTGCAACGCGGTTCGGCACCCAAGTGATAATGCTCGGCCGCTTCTTGGAGGTGAAGAAGGCGCTGTGGGCGATGGTGATTAGTGACGAACGGGAGGAGGAGGTGGCAGTGGCACGGACGGAGGAGGGGCGTGCGGTCCGCACGCTCCTACTGGACGACCTGTTTTGGGACTTAGCAACGGCAGTCCATCGCCTCATGACTCCCGTCTATGAGGTGCTTCGGGCTGTTGACAGGAGGACTCTAGTCATAGGGGAGATATACAGCCGCATGCTAGAAGCCACAGTCCAAACGAACGAGGCGGCTGAGGCGGCTGGTAAGCGCTGAATGCATTTGGTGCCGTCGTACTATTCTTTCGTGATTTCAATACAAAACAAGTAGCTTACTTGTTTCTGTTTTACTCTCTCTTAACAGCAGCAATCTTCGTTAAGCGGACCACACTGCTGGCGGCCAAAGACAAGGCCGCCTTTTTTACCTAGGCAATTGTTGCCTAGCGATGGGACGGCCAGCTCCACAATTCCTTGCATGCGATGGGTTGGCTCCTCAACCCCCGCAACCAGTATGTGGGGGCGGTGAGGAAAGACCGAGGGGCGGATGAGGTCATCCAGGCTCGGGGTGTGGACGTCGCTAACCTTACATTGCTCCACGCTCAGCTGGCCTAGTTCCACAAAGAAAAGGGCCGGCTTGGCTCCGAAGACGCCCGTTGGGCAGCCACGACTTTGGTGGAGGGGGGGCGCCTGACTGACGCGGAATGGTGGTGGATGTACGGTGAGGTCGCGGCGCTTCAAGAACTGGCTGTAATGGTGCTACCACAGCCAGTTACCTCATCCGAGGTGGAGAGGTACTGGTTCGCGCTTGCACGTGTGCAGAGGCGGGACCGGAACCGCCTTGCCGCCACCAAGATGACCGACGTCACCTACGTTGTCTTCACGAGGAGGGCTCGTGACGCCTTTGATCGGAGGCAGGGTGTGCGTGAGAAGCTGTACCGTGACCTGAGCAACGGCACCTTCAATGAGGGCTGCACCATCGCCCCGGTCTCAGCTGAAGAGGAAGAAGAGGGGCTGGAGAAGTGGAGGAAGAGGAGGAAGGAGCTACTACCATCGACTTAAATGAGTTCGGGAGCTTCGGTAAGAAGAAGAGGAAGATGAGGAGGCGGCGGACTGCAGACGGGCAAGAAGACCTATGATGGCAGAGATCCTTAGGATCTCAGCGATGATGATAGTGGGGAGGAGGAGGAGGAGGAGGAGGAGGAGGAGGAGGAGGAGGAGGAGGAGGAGGAGGAGGAGGAGGAGGAGGAGGAGGAGGAAGAAGAAGAAGAAGAATAGGATCAGTAGGGTCGAGTGGGGGGTAAACGTAGAGATAAGGAGCATGTAGATGGGGAGTAGGATGGCGGGAGGATCGGTGGCAGAGTTGAGCATCCGGCCCGACCCGGCCCGACCCGACCCGACTTGGCCGGGCCACACGGGCTCTCGGGTCGGGTCGGGTCGGGCCGGCCTCGGGCCAGATTCTTGAAACAGCCGGCCCGACCCGGGCCTACTCACTCGGGTCAAAGGGGACCCGGCTTCGGGTCGGGCCGGGTCGGGCCAGGTAGACCCGCCCCTTTGGTGGGGGCTGGAGGTGTTCATCACAATTTGTGCAATTTCTCTATTATACTTGTTCTTAATATATTCTGGTAATACATGGGGCGTCTACCACCACCACCCGTGATGTTTGCATTGTCGGTAGTTTAAGGAACGCTAGCTATTGCTCTAAGTCCTCTAGCTGCTAGCGTGGCGAAATGGAACCGACGGGGAAAAAATCCCCTCGATTTACATTTGTTCTAGGGTTTCGGCCCTAACCATGTCGAAATCGGGTCGCGCACCTGGCCCGACCCGATTTCGACATTTCTGACCCAAAATCGGGTCTGACCCGACCCGACCCGAAACCTGGCTCGACCCGGCCCGAAATGGTCCCTCGGGTCGGGCTTCTGCCCGGGTCGGGTCGGGTCGGCCCGTACGGGGCAGGGTTTCGGAAACCTTGACCCGACCCGGGCATCTGCTCAACTCTAATCGGTGGTAGGATGGTGGTAGTGGAGGATCGGTGGTAGGATGGTGGTAGGATCGGTGGTAGAATGGCGGGAGGGGGAGTAGGATGGTGGTAGTGGAGGATCGGTAGACTAGAAGAGTAGGTAGGGATGGAAGGATAGAGAGTAAGGGGCAGTAGCCCATTGTAGGCTTGTTTCTTAGTCGTTCTTTATGTGCTGAACATTCCACTGCACCAGTTTAAGAGTTTCATAACATTCCGGGGAAAATCCCCTTGCAAAAAAAGTCCAAAAAAAAAGACCGTAATTTTGAAAAAGTGAGCGTAAAAAACGGGCCGTTTTTTACGCTGACCGTATTTTTATCCTTGGCAGCAATTGGCGATGCACCTGATTATATTGCTGCACCTGATGATTTTGTTGCACCTTCTGTCAAAACTTAGGCTTAGAACTGATACATTAGTAGTGAGCTCAAAGCTCTTTAAGTACATCAGAAATGGGCAAGGTATGGATGAGAAGGGAATTGGGGGTAATCCTTAAGGATCGAGGGTAATCCCAACCAAGGCAATCTCCAATTGGTGGGTTGGAGATTGCTTGGAGATTACATTTGGGTTTGGTTGGGATGTCGGTGTACACCAAACACAACGTGCAAACTACACTAACATATAAAAAGTACAAGTACAAATGTGAGATTGAGGACAAACATTAACACCTTCCACTTCATCCAATCAAAAACGATGTCGAGGAGACTAGATTGCACACGGAGTGGGGGAGGGAGGAGCACAATGGGCAACGGATGTGGCAGGGTCTTCACCTGTACTCACAGATATTTCAGCAGGCTGAGCGCAATAACAGTGGCAGGAATGCTGCCTGGCAGCTGGTTGCTTGCGAGATCGCTGTGAGGAGACAATCACAGCAGCAAGGAGGTCAGGCTATCCGAAATGAGAAGTTGATCAAATCATAAGGGGGAAAGGTGGAAAGCAGGAGGAGAGGTAGGCTGGAGAAGAGATGGTGAAATCAAACTAGATATGAGCATCCGAGTCGAGCTAAGATTTTTCGAGATTAGAGGGGAAAGGATGATGGATTAGGTAAGGGGGTGGGGGTACAAGACTATCGAGAAGTTTGTTGTACCCTCTAAGGAATCACCTCTACACAACCTAGAGATATATAATATGAAACATATAATTTGACACACCCCCATAGGTGAAGTAGGGGGGATAGCCAAACCTAACAGTGGTCACAAGACCAGTCAAGCAGAAGAGCAAACAAAACAAAGCCCAGGGTGGATCTCAAGGACACCACACAATCTGAGCACAAGCAGGTGGCCACAGGGCCGGTTCACATGCAGTTTTATAATAGAGCAAGTAGTACAATGATTACAACCTAGCAAGTGTAAGCATGCAGGAAGATATATAGAGATCACAGTACAAACAAAGTCAAGCAGTAAGCAAGTGAGGCCCAGCAGGTACAAGGCCTAGAAGAGTACAAAAACGCTGATGGTCACCAGGCGGAAGCGCCTTGGTGAACACATCAGTAGTGTTGGCCTCAGTGGCCACGTAACGCAGACGAAGCTGACCACGCTGCTGCAGCTCTCGAGCAAGGAAGTAGCGTAGAGCAATGTGCTTCGTCCTGTGCTCCAGTCTGTGCTCCTGACACAAGGCAATGGCTGCCTTGTTGTCGACGTACAGCACTGGAGGAGAACGAGGCCGCTCTCCAAGGTCGGTCAGCAAGTAGGTGAGCCAGCGAAGCTCCTGGGCAGCCATGGCTGTGGCGTAGATCTCAGCCTCACAACTGGAGCTGAGAACAGAAGAAGAGAGCGTAGAACGCCAAGAAACTGAGCCAGAGCCAAGACTGAAGGTGTAACCCTGAGACGACCGCTGTGTAGCCTGGTCGTCTGCCCAAGAAGTGTCTGAGTGCCCTGTGAGAACAACTCGGTCTCGCCCTCCAAGCACTAGCCCCATGCCCGACGTACTACACAAGTAGCGCAACACCCTCTTAGCTGCATCCATGTGCTCCTTCCGGTGACGGCCGGGAGCAACATAGAGTGCAAGGATGCTAAGAGGGTATGCCAGGTCAGGTCGAGTGCAGGTCATCAGGTACATGAGGCAACCCACAAGCTCTGGATACGGGCCACTCGGCTCTACGGACTCATCCGAAGGCAGAGCTGAGAGCGAGTGACCGGTAGGCAGAGGAGTGGGCTGAGGCGAGGAGTACGTGAAGCCGAAGCGCTGAAGGACCTGCTGCACCATGTGTGACTGAGTCAGAGTAATGGTGCGGCGTGCTCTGTCCCGGGTGATCCGCAAGCCAAGATAGCTTGTCAGTTCACCCAGGTCTGTGCACGTGTGTCTCTTCTGCAGCTTCGACTTCACGTGGGCGAGTGCCGCAGTGTCAGCAGTGGCAAAGACCAAGTCTTCGACGTACACAAGGATGTAGAACGGCGGCAGAGAGGTGTCGGTGCGTAGAAACAGCGACGGGTCAGCAGTAGAAGGAGCGAACCCAAGAGCCGCAAGTGTAGTCCTCAGTGTGACGTGCCACTCACGCGGCGCCTGGCGGAGACAGTAGACTGGCCGCCGGAGGCTCCACTGGGTGCCAGGAGGGAACGACCCAGTGAAGCCAGGAGGGCGGCGCAGCCAGATCTCCTCGTGTAGGCTGCCCGGGAGGAAAGCAGTGCTGAAGTCAAGAGAGTCGAGCTCGTAGTCACGCTGAGCGGCTATGTGCAGCAGAACCCGAAGAGTGGTCATCTTCGGGGTCGGGGAGAAGGTCTGGAAGAAGTCGACTCCCTCTCGCTGACTGAAGCTTCGTGCAACGTAACGCGCCTTGAAGACAGGCGGAGAACCCGGCGGCCGCTTCACCCTGAAAATCCACATGCCACTGACAATGTTCGCCCCAGGTGGGGGAACCTCGTCGACGTAGGTGCTTGTGGACTTCGAGGAAGCCATCTCTGCGTCCATGGCTGTCTGCCACTGAGAGGAGTAGGGACCCGCCATCGCCTCAGCGTAAGAGCGCGGGGTCGGGATGTCTGGTGCATCCGGGTCTCCCTCAGGGGCAACAAGCATGGACACAAGATGGGGCAAAGCAGCAGCAAAGCACTCAAACTCCTCCTGCCTGTCCTCAAGGACGTCCGTGCCAAGAGCACACTCACCGCCGACGGACGGAGGACAGATAGACTCAGACTCAGCAACAAGGCTAGTGGCGTAGTCTAGACGACACGTGGCAGCAAAGTCGACAAGCTCAGCGACTAAGGCAGACGCAGCAGCGGACTCAAAGGAAGGGTCAGTGACAACAGTGGCCAGGAGACGCGTGACAGTAGGACTGGCAGCACAAACGGAGTCAGACTCCGGGTCAGCAAGAGCAGGTAGAGAGGACGCAGGAGGAGACGGGAGAGGGACACGCTGAGGAGCTGTGGACTGACGAAGCGCCATCTGGTGAGTGCCTGGGACAGCAGGAGGACGCTGACGCGGGACACGACGACCAGTAGGAGCAGCACGAACAGGCGACGCTCGACGAGACTCAGGCGACGCAGGACGAGACTCAGGCTCACGACGCTCAGTAAGACCTCCAGTCGGACCAGTGTAAGGAGCAGGACCAGGGATAGGGGAGGCAGGCGGCAACTGTGACTGCGACTGGACAGACGGCGGACACGCTTAGGAGGGAGGAGGACCAGGAGGAGGAGGAGGACCAAGAACCTGCTGAAGGAGCGGAACGAAGTACGGCCGCGGCCGCGCAGCGACTCCAGAACCAGCAGAGACACCAGCACCAGGGTCCGCAGCACCAGCAGCAGCACCACCTCCAGGGTCCTCAGCACCAGCACTAGCTCCAACACCAGGGTCCGCAGCACCAGCAACAGCACCACCTCCAGGGCCCTGAGCACCAGCAGCACCTCCAGCAGCACCAGCAGCACCGCCAGCAGCACCAGCACCTCCAGTGCCAGGGTCCGCAGCACCAGCAGGAGCACCACCTCCAGGGTCCTCAGCACCCGCAGCACCAGTAGTAGCACTAACGTCCGGGTCGGCAGCACCAGCAGCACCTCCAGCAGCACCAGCAGCACCGCCAGCAGCAGCAGGGTCCGCGACACCAGGCGCGCCACTGCGAAGAGTGCAGCGCCGCGCGTACCACTCACAAATCCTCAGCTCCAAGGGTACGGCCGCGTACCTGCTGAAGGAGCGGAACGAAGTACGGCCGCGGCCGCGCAGCGCCTCCAGAACCAGCAGAGACACCACCAGCACCATCAGCTCCAGGGTCGCCAGCGACAACTCCCGCAGCACCACCAGTAGCTCCAGCAGCGCCAGCACTTCCAGCACTAGCAGC